GACTGCTGAAAAAGACTTGTTTGCAGAATGCAGAGAAAGAAACAGCTATGGACTCTGCTGGCATTCTCAGATGCACAACATGATCCAAAATCTGATTGTAAGACGATGCTATCAGTCTTTCTTTTTCTTGCTGCCTGTGGGTTCAGAATATAAATCACAAGCTGCGTGTGCTTCAGCTGATCCTGTTTGTTCCCACTGTGACCTTATAGTAAATGTATTGTTTTTTCATTTATATTTAAGAACAGATCAAAGTATGTTGGGACTCAGTTCCCTCTCCACACAAACTAAATCAATATTTCAGACACATTCTGTGGTACCAATTAAGTGTTGCCTATCAGAAGTAATGGTGTTTGTTTTAGAAGTTACCACACCATCCATTCTATTTGTTACTTATTCTCTCAAGTATGTAACCAATGAAAGCGGAGTCAAAAGTTTGTTTAATTGACGTTTCTTCCTTTTGAGTTGCAAGAGAACTGTATATATACAGAAAGCACACTGTGAACTGGGTAGTTAAGTAGGTACAAAGTCATTGATGTTCTTCCTCTGCTTCCACTACATGGTACTAAGTATTCAGACTTGTGTCTGTATGTCAGTTTAATTATTAAGAGCCTCTCACTCCACAAAGCCAGAGTATGCTCTTTGATATGCATGGAACCCCTCTCTCAACCAAGAGAAACCACCACGGTGAGCCAGTTGTGTGCAGCCTGGCCGCCGAGGACTGCAGCGCTCACAGGTGACTCGGGGCGAAGGCAGCCGCACTGCCAGTCAGCAGGCTGTGGCAGTCACACAGCCGTGTGCTGCAGCAGGAGGTAAGCAGGGAACCTCAAACCTGTCTGGAGAACACCAGCGGCCAGACCGTGCAGGCAGCATTGAGAGGACAGCCCCAGGCTCTGCACATTGAGAGATGCATCGCTCCCTTTTTGTTGTAAACTCGGGGCTGGGATAGAGCGAGTTGCAGGATCAAGATGGTGAAAGGAGCCCCTTTTCTCTTATGGTACCTAGGGAAGAGTAAGCCAGGAATTGTTTGCACCACAGAGAAAATGCAGCTGGCATTTTTTGCAGATCTCTTTTTTTGATGTTTATATTCTTCTGCAGTACTTACATAAGACTCATTGGAGGAAAAAAAGCAAGGTGATATATTCCCAAAGAAGTCCATGTGCTAGATATAAGAATATGGGCAATATATGTAGACACGCAGGGAGGGATCAGAACTTGCAAAGTCATTCTTAGTTAATATAATCTTCCAGACTTTTCTTGAAATATTTAGCAATTTTGTACTAAATTAAAATTGGTTTAAAACAATTGATAGAAAACACTTGTAACAGGAAATGGGCTTTTGACCCAAGGTCAAAAAGGCAAAGGAGTAGTATGTGGACCAAGGGATTTCAGTTCTGTATGGAAAGGGGACAGTGTTCGTGGAAAGGAGTAGCATTCATTCCATGAAAGGAAGTGAGAAATATCTTTAGATAAAAAAGGGAGCAGGGTAAAAAAAGTTCTTTTTCTTAAAAGACAAAAATAAAAAATAAAAAAAAATGCATTTAGCATGAAAATACTGGTTAGTGCAAGTTGAATGTGTTGAATAGTTTCAGATTAATTAAAAATGAGCTTTTTCAATGAATGTGATGAAATTATAAGGATGTTAATTAATTCCCTTTGTAGATATTTAATTGTCAATAAAATACTAGGTAATTCTTAACATTTGTAGAAAACTTGCCCCCCCAAAACCGATTTTTAGATTGACTAAATGCAAAGATTTTAGGTTATTGTAGTATATAACAAATCACTTTGTATATAGTAAGTCATTTTGTATGTTTGTATATAAATCTGTCTGCCTGTGTATCTACAGATAGGCATATAGGTGAATATACCTAGAATAAGCCTTTCTCTGCTCTATACCTTTAAAATAAACCTGAAGCAGTTGTGTGATAGATTGCATAGGTACGCTCCTATCCTTTCTCCTTGTTTGCATGTTAGTTTTCTATACACCTTCACATTTCTTCAAGTACTGTCGCTGGCTTTGAGCTACTGTGCCTGGTTTCACCACAAACGGTGCTGTAAGTCCTGCTGGAATTTCTCATGAGGGATGCTAGAGTAACGGAAAGAGAGTAGAGCAAATCAGTTCTGACAGTGTCAATGCTAATTTCTTGCAAAAGAGCTGCAGACAGGAATAACATGATGTTATGCAGGGCGGCTCCATCGCAGTCGTGCAGCCTGTGTCAGTTCTTTAGAGGCAATCTGTAATGGCATTCCTCTGGTCAGGACTTGCTATATGTCTCTATCCCATGCAGTGCAGCAGCAGTTCTGCTTTGATCCTATCTGGCTGACACCAAATGCTTAAGGTGTGTGCACGTAGTGACTTCTGTTTGAATGCTGTGTTCTATGTAGATTTGTTGGCAAAATAAAAACTTATGTTCAATCCTACAACTGTGATCACAGAGATGCATCATGCTGTACTCAGGCAAATTGATCTCAGAATGGAGATAATTTCATATTTTCAAGAACCCGTAATGAGGTTAAGAAAAAGAAAATAGCAACCCACATGATTTCTGTAAATTCGCTGAGGAGATTATTGAAAACAAGCCCAACAAGCTTAACAGTGTATTTCCTGTTTGTTGCACATTATAACTTCCCAGTGTTAATTTGCTGGGGCTCACCTGGTGGAAGTTTTTCTGCACAATGCAGTTGGTTCTTCCCTTAAGACAGGAAATACAAATATTGACAAATGGAAATTTATATACAAATATACATGCATGTCAAATGTTTATTTTTCTCGAGGAGAAAACAAATGTGTATGGTGAAGTTATGCTGGTTTCAGTAAGCATTATACATTTTTCTAAGTTTGACCAAGTTCTGTGGATTTATGCTGTTAAATAGCAACAGTGGCTTTGACTCTGGGAGATGAGCTTTCCATTAAAGCCTGAAGCTGCCTGTGATACTGCCATAAGAGCGTAACTGCGTGGCCTGAATATTAGTTCTGAAAGGCTTCAGGGTTGTGATAGAAACAAGTTGTCACCTCCTTCACAGTTTGGAGAGACACATGCTTTCTTATGTACAAGTACTTCCTTTGTAAGCAAAGCTTTAAAAATGACTTCTTCAAGATATCGAGATTCTCTGTTACCCAGGCTGGGAGCATACGAAGGAGAGTTGTTTTCAAAATTTCAGCTTGGAATAGCTAGATGAATACCTAAAAATGCTTGATATGCAAACTGTTTTGATGTGAAGATGAAATATGTTATTCATGTTCATTTTTCACAAAGTAAAACTGAGGAAATGTACTGTATTGTACATGCAATTTTTCTCCTAAAATATACGTTCTTTTGGCATAAATCACACTTAAAATTGTGCATTAGTCTTTTCTCCAGTCCCAGATCTGCCTGCACCTGTTGGTGTATGTGAATCTATTCTGATGCTGATACTTGGATAACATACCAGGCAATTTATTACCTGACATGGATCAGGGAGTTCGCCTGACACTTAGCCTTACAATCTGCACTTGCTGTGTTTCAGTTTCTCAGGAAAGTTGGAAGCATTGCTTCTAATAGTGAACGCTGAGAGGGCTTGGACCTCTCTACCTGAGATGACCTTACAGTAGCTATGGCCTACAGAAATGCTAAATTCACTTGAGATAAAATAAGGCTTTTCATAAAAGTATCTCTCTTCCAGGTTTGTGCTTAGCTTCAACTTTCTTTTCTGAAGTATCAGTAAGGCTTTTTGCATTTGTGGAGGCTTTATTCTGTCTTGCTGGCAGGAAAACAGCAGGTTCTTCTAGCATAGGCTTTTCATCTTATGATGACCTCTGTGCTGCTCTGGTCCTGAGTTAGCTAGCTTAAGCCTAGTTTATAGCCACGTGTATACTATGGAAATAGATTATAAATGCATTGCATACCTTCCAGAAATTTCTGTTAATTACAACGTACTGCAAATGGGACAAGGCCGGAGCCTAAGTGGATGGGAGCGTTTCTTTCTGGCGAGCAGTTTTCTCTCTTATAGTATGTGAAGGTTCTCCTGTTATGTTGGATTGCTTTTAACTTTATAGATAATGTTAACTCTAAGAATTTGTCTCGGGATGTCTTCATTTTTTAAGAAATTTACTTGGGAATAAGGGATGTGGTACTTCTATTCTGCAGACCTGGACTTTCCTGTTATCTCACAGCTTTCATTTCCAACTTTTGGTTTGCTAGACCAAAGCCATGGTGATTAAACTTTTGTCTTGAAAAGGTCTGAAGCTATTTAAGAAATAACTAATACATTTCTTCTAATACCAAATGTTTTGGGATGTTAAAAGCTCCTTGGTATTAGGGAAAATTCCTTGTGTAACAGTGTTTCCTTAAAGACTGCTCGGTAATTTGGTGGTAAGCCTTGGCTATTGATAGGTCACTGCCACACCGCACAGATTCATCCCTCACAAATATCGAGGAACCTGTGATGGATCAGAAAGCTTAATGTTACCTTCAGATTTCACTGACAGGTGGGTAGTAGAGTTTGAGGGAAATATTTTTTTGCTGAGCAGTCTGAGGACAGAAGACTATTTGGATTTTGTTTACTCAGAATCACAGGAAGTTTGTCTTGTCAAGCCCCCGTAAAGACATAGCTTGTGAGCTTACCTTGTAGCTTCTGTCTGTCACACAGCCATCAGTGAGTTTGTTAAGCTTGTTTCAAAGAAAGAGTACTAAATGCAGGCAGAAATACACGCTACTGGATTTGTTCAGTGTAAAAGTTGGTCGTGCTCTTTGGTACTAGCTACCAATTTCACTGCTGAAATAGCATTACTTCAAGATTTTTCTTTTCAAGATTTTTTTTAGTGGTAATTTTTAGTGGTTGTTAATGCTGTAGCTGTCCTCCCTGGGAGTGTTAAGCAGTGGGAAAATGCACGCTGAAAAATGTTGGAATTTAAATGAAAGGTGTAGCAATCAGAAAACAATTTAATCAGAAAAGTTTTTTTTTTTTTTTTTTTTTTTTTTTTTTTTTTTTTTTACATCAACGTCCTTTCATGGTTGAAGGATGCTGAGTGCTATTGGTATTCCAAAGTTCGGGTTAAATTCAGCTCATGATGTCTGAAGAATGCAGTACATCAGTAAGGAAAGGTGAGTTGCAGCTCAAATGGTAATCGTGCCAAATTTTCAGGCAATGTATTGAAGGTTGCTTATTTAATTTTTTTTTAGTTATTTACAGCTGACCTGTATCATTAAGGGAAAATCTGAATGGATTTAAGTCTGTCATGATATACTGTACACTGGTACTTTCCTATTCATTATAAAGGATCTTGCAACACTGATAGCATTAATGACTGCTCTGTTCATTGGAAGCATGAGAAACTGTCCCACTTGGAGAGATGACTGACTGAAAAGGGAATAGAAGTGGTGCAGTGCTACCTGTCCGTTTATTAGCAAATACATGCAGAAATGCTCCATTTAATTCACTGTTCTCTAAGGAGGAGTTTGAAATACTGATATAAAACCTTTTAGAAGCTGCTCAGTCACAGCTGGGGATGGATGGGGGCAGCCTCCCCTGCTTATGAGTAGTGGAGACCTGCTAAACTCCTGCCTGGCTGCAGAAAGTGCTGACCTCCACACTCATCCAGAGAGGGGAAATGTGAAACTCTCAGTTACTCAGCACTGCGAAGGATTAAAGGCTATGGCTTCAGTCTATTTAAATGCACACTCAAACTTTCTTTGGTACCTTGAATTAGATTATCAAAATGGAATTATATTTGAGAAGACCAAAATTTGATGTGAAGTAGAACTCATTTTCTTGCCTGTCTCAATTATGACAAAAAAGATCACAGTGCTTTTTGTACTTCTATGCCAAGTGCCCAATGCGAAGAAAAAAGACTATAACAAAAATTAAGAGCTTTCCTTTGCTGGACTCCCTAGTAGTGCTCTAGCTTTGAACAAATTGGTATCCACAGCTCCAGCTTCAAACCCTAAAAGAAAGTAGCTTTGTTTGATAGTTTTATTATATGTTTTTAAACTACATGCAATGAGAGAAGTGGTGATTTAGTGTTTCTGCACTACTTTACTGACTCTAGTTCAGATTATAACAGACTGCTAACCCCTATTTCTCACCTGTAACTCCAGCCTATAAATTATAAACATGCTGGCACAATCATTATATTATTATTTTTTTTTATATAGCTTTCAATTTACAACTCTGGCTGTCCTTGAGCTGGTGCTTTGTATTTGTTACAGTCTCCTGAGGGAGGATTCATTGACTGGTGACTCAACATTTTAACTCACAGAAAATTCATTCTCATTCTGGTGTCTTCAATTTTTCAGAAGACCTTACTGTTCTTCATTGATTATGGACTGAGGATTAATTATGCTGTCACTTAGTGTATTTACATGCTTGAGCAATATATTGACTCACTTATTTTAGTATGGTCAGCATTATTCCTTGGTATGGGGCATGTTTATTTTATTAATGGTTGCAGAGCAACATGTTGCCATTAAAATGAATGGAAGAGATCAGATAGCGAAGCTGTATTTATTCCCTCAGTAAATCTCTAAAGATAATTTTCTTACTACTCTGAGAACTGGAATGCCTACATCTTTTGCCTTGAAAGCGCCCCCCCCAAAAAATAATCAATCTCTTATGAGCAAAGATTACTCTCTTGTATGTTGTTTCACACAGATCAGTGCACTGTCCAATTAAGTGTGGTATTATCTGGATCTTTTTTTTCAAATATATGAGAATAGAAGTGTGGTGAAATGTGAGAAATGTATGGTATGGATTCTTATTTCTAGGAGTTGGTTATTTCTGTCCATCTTGGAGAACTTTAGAAATAGAAAGATTGGTGGATGTTAAATGTTTAATTTGAAATACTTCTCAAAGAACTTCCAAAAGAGAAAGTAAATTTTAAAATACTTGAGGTTTAGACATTTTGATATACTGAAACTACTGCTAGTTCTGAGCCTAACCACCCACTGCTCCAGGAAACCCACACACAAGCTAAAAGAGGGGATGTCCCAGGACATTTTCTAACGTAGTACCTTTGAGGGTGACAGCATTGTTACCATCCTTCTTCCTTCCATCTGCGTTTCCATAGAATGTTTGGTGTTGGCTCTGAGTCATTAGGAGACTGCTTGAAAGCCTATGCCGTTTACAGAAGAGACTTTCCCAGTACAGCACTGCATCTCCGTACTCAGGTGCATATATATCTTACAATGTATGCAGTGTACCCCTGTGAAAAAGGGATTCCTCTTCATGATGTGTACTGCAGGGAAGTGTAGAGGTGAAATATCATTGAGGTATTGATTGACATTGTGATGTATTGCCACTTCAAATTGCACAGAGGCTACTGAGAGCTGCACGGCCTCCAGCCTGAATTGGCAACGCGAAGTCCAAAAATGTCACCGGCAGTTCTTCCTGATAGGCTCCCTTTCAGAACTCTGGACTTTTGAGGTCTCACGTAAAGGGAATTCTGCTACAGAAGTATGGAAATATTTGCAGGCAGCAGACAATGCACCACAAAAGTTTCTTTTTTTTTTTTTCCCCCTGAAATGGATATGTCATAGTTCCTTGAGCACTCTGGCAGATGTTTTGTTAGGTTTAAATCCATTGTAGCCATAAATCCCAGACTACTGGGATCCTTAATCCTTCTCCTTCATCTCACTTGTAAAGGATGAAATTGTTACTATGAGTGAAGGAAGCACTCCAAATTGACAAAATGATCCTATAAATTTTTAAGTCTGTGTTGTACAGAAAGAATTTGAAGGTTGTTCTTTCACTTGTTTATACAGGAATAAGGCAGAATTTTTAGCTGACTGTACTGTTTGCTTTCTCAGTTTGACATTAGTTTTATTGGCTTCTATTTGTGTTAGATGTTTGAAAGATTCTGTAATATTTTGCACAGAAACCCTGTCAGTAAGAGAAACTGTTCAGTACCTTCTTTAAACATATTTGAATTATGGAAATGAAGCATTTCCATCAGGAGATGGAAAATAACTAGCTTGTGAAGATAGTGTATATACTTATTGGCTGTCCTTAGAATTACCTGGCGTAGTCATTCCTACACTTAATCTCATTATAATTGTAACTGATATTTCTTATCCTGACTGCATTTCACAATTAGAAATTACAATTGATGAGCAGTGATGTACGTCACTTGATTTTTCTCCCTCAGGGGCAGATACGTGGTGGGAGACTTCAGGCTGTGTCTGTGAGTGACTGTATGAGTTGCACTGGCTGTTTTATCTCCACTGTGGAGTTCTAGCATACAAACACAGGTCTTTCAAGCTCATCAACTTCTTTGTTGTTCTGAATAGGTTTCTCTTTCTCTCTGTGAACTGAGTCTTTCTAGAATCTAAAACGATATCATGGCCACACGAGCAGTAATTAACAGTAGTATTAATTTAGTGTTCTTAGTTTAAGGTGCACATCTGTTAACAACTCAGTAGCTCTTCTCTGAAGATGGCACATCAGAGACCTTCATAATGTGTTCGATACTCAGCTTGATTAGCTCCTTCGCTTTGTTAGTGGATGGACTTGAGGCAGAGCAACTGTGAGCTGCAGGGCTCAGCACTCCAGTCATACCTGTTTCTGTAACATAGTCTTAGACTCTTCTGTTGTCATTGATTTCATAGCTACACAGCAATATCTGGTGATGCTGCATAGGAAACCTCTCCTGCTTGACAATGTTATGCCAGTAAGTACATTTCAGGTCAATTTTCAGAATCATTAATTTGCTGACCTGATACAGAAGAATTTTTGTGGTGCTGTTGTCAATATGTAGTAGGTCCAATTTGCTTTGCTGGTGTTAGGGTACAGGCTTTTTTGCATCACCAAATTAGAAATTGTAGTATTGTGGGTTTAGGTGAAGCCACAGACCTTCCTGGGATGACTGACTATCTCTTTGCATGACTTTCTCTGAGAGCTTCGAGCTTCTGATATCTTTGACTTAGGAAGTCTATCACGCTAAATTGGAATCAAGGTGCAAGACACTTCTAAATGTCATTTCCATAGTAACTTTAGGATGCTGGCATAATATCCAAGCAAGGGTTTAAACGCAAGTTACTGCTCTGTCCTTCCAGTTGCTGTGCAAATGAGAAGGCAGAAAACTGTCTCATCTTCGGTGAGGTGAGCTGATGTGAGGGCGAGTGCTGCTTGAGTCTGTGGTCATCACAACCTCCCTGACTTCGGTGCACAGCAGTGTGAGGTTAGTGTTTCAGAAAAAATGAAATATTTGATGGTGCTGGTTTTATGTAACTTCTAGGTTAGCCCTAATCTGTGATCACAGTGATCAGTGAAAGGAGAAATTAATGGTGAGCTTTGCATGAACAGCCAGAAAACTTCTCTTTCCAGTGATAGCACTATCATTGGATGTGGAGGAATTCTAGTGTGTGCAGTGTTTCAGTGGAGCTATCACCTTACCAGAAGTGATTAAATGTACCTAGAGTCGCTCAGAACAGTTTGATATCTTAAGTATCACTTGACAAAATGTTCAAGAAATGATTAACCCCAAAATAGAAATTAGAAAATCTCATTTCATCAAGAGACCTGAGGGGAAAAAAGGAGGTGCAGTCTTTGTGTGGGGGGAAAAAAAAAGAGGGAAACCCAGCTGTAGTAAGTGCCTTAGAAAATGGGGAGAAAGGTGAGGAAAGGGAAGAAGATACAGATCTCTGTGTAGGAAAAGCAAGGGAGAACCACAGGAAGACAACTGTACCATTCTGAAAGCGTATTCCACACAGTAGGATTAGCTCCATGCAGCTCACTGAACAAGAGCTGTGCATTGACTGCATGACAAAAGCAGTCTGTGGTTATTCGCTGTCTCATGTTTTTCACTTGTTCACTCTTTTAAAAAATGTTCTTAGTACTTTTCTGCCTTTACCAGCTCACATTATTTTACTTATCATGTGTGTCCTGGGGGATTTTTAAGGAGGATTGAGAACTGTTTTTGTCAGATGGAGCCTGAATGCTAATTACCATCCTGACAGGGTATAATAACCCTGTAAGAGCATCAGTGAAGGAAAAAAATGAGCAGAATATACAATTATTTTATAAAAGTTTCTTTCCTTGAGGGAAAAATCTGTACATTTATGATCTGTGACAAAGGAGATGTTGAACTATGTAAGTGAATTACCCGTAGCTCCATACATGTGTGTGTGGAAGAGGATGAACTCGAAATGACATTAAGCAATTTTGTTATTGCAAGGAAGGACTAGAAAAGGTAGTGAACTGCAAAGCTGCATCTTCTCTTTCCAAAGCCTAATTCAGGCTGATAAATGAAACTTGATGTAAAGCAGAAATACATTATAGACTTATATGGAAATATTTATTATACTATGCAAAGCTTTCATTTTTCTTCATGCTATGTTCTAGGAAGAAACTTACAGTATGTTGAAAGAAAACTGTAGAGGACCTAAGCTGTGTCAGTATTAATGATGTGTTTAGAAGGAGTTTATTCAAGTACAACAAAGGATAACCTAGCGATGATGAGGGATGTCTCTCAGCAACAAAACACCCTTACTCTAAAAATAAGTGTATTAGTTAAAATTTCTCTCAACAGATTTGATAGTATGTCCCAATATCTGCTTTTCAGTTTTCTCTTTAGTAGCATTAGAAAATTAGGTAATGTGACTTTCTGCAACCTAAATTCTGAATTTCCTTAGAATTTCAAACTAAATTTTGGATTTCCTTGGTTTCAAGCAAAAGGAAGCTTTTTATTCTGTGTATGTTGATCAGAAGCGATCTTTTCCAGAACTCTTTTAGCTTAAGTCCTGTTACCAAACAACAGCTGAAGAACCTTGAACCTGTGATGTTCTTCAGCTTACAAAAGTAAGGTGATATGATGTATCAGGTATCTAAATTGGATGCCAGAAATCAGAGCATAGAAATACCTGGCACAGGCTAAAGAAAGCAGTTAAGGTTAGGCTCTACATGCATGGAAAAAAAAGAAATTTTCTCAGGAGGCTTCCTGTGGGGAACATCTATTTCTATCATCTTTCACCTCAGGCCATATGTAAGAGCAGAATCACGAGTACTGTCATTTGTAGTCACAGTAGATGAAGCAGACAAAAAGGAATCTAATTTAGAAGAAACCTGGAACACAGAGAAATGAATGTTTGAAGTTGAAGAGGCAGCCTGTTGTGTAAGGAGCTGTAGCCAGGTGGTCTGACTAGTAGAGCTGTGAGTAAACCATTTAAAAACAAATTGAGAGGGTTGTAGATAACCATATGTATACAAGGAGTAACAGAGGAAATTTTTTACATAACACAGGAGGAGTAAATGTACACTGTAGACTCAGTACATTAATATGCTCTTTTAATGTTGTCTGTAGGGATAGAAATATTTAAAATAGTGCACATGCATTTACTTGAGTTATTGTGTTATTTTCTCTTCTTCAAGAAGGACAAAAATATTTTCCTCTTCCTTTGAGTTTGGGAAAGTGGCACACTTAACAAGATCCTTGATCGTTATGCACTGGCACAGGTTGCCCAAGGAGGTTGTGGATGCCCCATCCCTGGAGGCAGGCCAGGCTGGATGTGGCTCTGGGCAGCCTGGTCTGCTGGCTGGCAACCCTGCACATAGCAGAGGGGCTGAAACTAGATGAGGCAAACTGATT